AAAATGTAGATTCTTTACAAAGGTGCTTTGTACATTCACCCACATACACCATACACCCGGCCATAAAAGTCTCCATAAATTTTAAAAGATTGCACTTTTACTTAATAAATTCTCTTATTTTATTTGAAATTAATTTAATTTGAAATAATTTTGAATTTTATTTGAAATTTATAATGATAACATATCTCGAAATATTTGGAAACGCATGGGTCAAAGAAAATCAAAATGGAACTTAGAAAATATTTTATGCTCACTCTAGCTGGTTTGGCTCAGTGGACAGAGCGTGCGCCTGCGGACTGAGGGGTTCCGGGTTCGATTCCAGCCAGTCAAGGACTGTGGCCAGCGCATGTGCAGGTGACAACCAATCGATGTGTTTCTCTCACATCTATATTTCTCTCTGTCTTTCCCTCTCTCTTCCACTCTCTAAAAATCAATGGAAAATGTCCTTGGGTGAGGATTAAAAAAAGAGAAAAAGAAACCCTTTATGGGTTTCATGCCCAGGCAGAGAATAACCAAATAACTTATATGCATATATGATAATCCATGGACACACACAATACTACGGTGAAAGCCTGGGGTGGGGCAGGAACCAGGTGGAGGGGGGCAATGGAGGAAAATAGGGGATATCTGTAATATCATCAACAATAAAGAGAAATTTTAAAAATGATGAATGCAACAGAAGTCAGAAACAGAAGGGAGAACAAAAATATGAGACAAATAGAAAACAAATAGTACGATGGTAAATTAAAACCAATCAATAACTGCATTAAATGTAAAAGGGTTAAACAATCCAGTTAAAAGACAGATTAATAGACTTAATAAAACCCCAATAAGAAAAAAATTATTTCGTGCATCTCTGATAATTAGTGACATTGAGCATTTTTTCATATGTCAATTGGCCATCTGTATGTCCACTTTGGAGACATGTTTATTTAGATCCTTTGCCCATTTTTTTTCAGTGTGAGTTTTTAAACATTTTTTTATTGCCCTAGCCGGCTTGGCTTAGTGGATAGAGCGTCGGCCTGCAGATTGAAGGGTCCCAGGTTCGATTCCAGCCAAGGGCACATGCCTGGGTTTCGGGCTCAATCCCCAGTGGGGGTGTGCAGGAGGCAGCCGATCAATGATTCTCTCTCATCATTGATATTTCTATCTCTCTCTCCTTCTCCCTTCCTCTCTGAAACCAATAAAGAAATATATTTTTAAAAAATAAAAAATTTTTATTAGTTATTACATGTGTGTCCTTATCTCCACATTACCCCCCATCCCCCCCACTCATGCCCCTACCCCCCTGTTGTCTGTGTCCATTAGTTAGGCTTATGTGCATGCATATAAGTCCTTTGGTTGATCTCCCCCCCTTACCCCCACCCTCCCCTACCTTCCCTCGGAGGTTTGAGCATCTGATCGATGCTTCTCTGTCTCTGGATCTGTTTTTGTTCATCAGTTTATGTTGTTCATTATATTCCATAAATGAGTGAGATCATGTGATATTTATCTTTGTCCAACTGGCTTATTTCACTTAGCATAATGCTCTCCAGTTCCATCCATGCTGTTGCAAATGCTAAGAACTCCTTCATTTTTACTTCAGTGTAGTATTCCATCATGTAGATGTACCACAGTTCTTTAATCCACTCATCTGCTGATGGACACTTAGGCTGTTTCCAAATCTTTCCTATGGTGAATTGTGCTGCTATGAACATAGGGGTGCATATATCCTTTCTGATTGGTGTTTCTGATTTCTTGGGATATATTCCTAGAAGTGGGATCACTGGGTCAAATGGGAGTTCCATTTTCAGTTTTTTAAGGAAACTCCATACTGTCTTCCATAGTGGCTGCACCAGTCTGCATTCCCAGCAGCAGTGCACGAGGGTTCCTTTTTCTCCACATCCTCTCCAGCACTTGTCTTTTGTTGATTTGTTGATGATAGCCAGTCTGACAGGAGAGAGATGGTACCATATTGTCGTTTTGATTTGCATCTCTCAGATGATTAGTGACTTTGAACATGTTTTCATTTGTCTTTTGGCCATTCTTCTGTCTTCTTTCCAAAAGTATCTATTTAGGTCCATTGCCCATTTTTTAATTGAGTTATCTTCCTTTTGTTAAGTTGTATGAGTTCCCTGTAAATGTTGGAGATTAAACCCTTATCAGTGATAACATTGGCAAATATGTTCTCTCATGCAGTGGGCTTTCTTGTTGTTTTGTTGATGGTTTCTTTTGCTGTGCAAAAACTTTTTATTTTTATGTAGTCCCATTTGTTTATTTTCTCTTTAGTTTCCAATGCCCTAGGAGCAGTATCAGTGAAGAAATTGCTTCGGCATATGTCTGAGATTTTGCTGCCTGTGGATTCCTCTAGGATTTTTATGGTTTCCCGTCTTATGATTAACTCCTTTATCCATTTTGAGTTTATTTTTGTGTATGGTGTAAGTTGGTGTTCTAGTTTCATTTTCTTGCATATATCTGTCGATCTTTCCCAACACCATTTATTGAAGAGGCTGTCTTGACTCCATTGTATGTTCATGCCTCCTTGTCGAATATTAATTGAGCATAGTGGTTTGGGTCAATTTTGGAGTTCTCTATTCTATTCCATTGATCTATATGTCTGTTCTTGTGCCAATACCAGGCTGTTTTGAGAACAGTGGCTTTGTAATACAGCTTGATATCTGGTATTGAGATCCCACCTACTTTGTTCTTTCTCAGGATTGCTGAAGCTATTTGGGGTCTTTTTTTATTCCAGATGAATTTTTGGAGAGTTCATTCTAGGTCTGTGAAATATGCCGTTGGTATTTTAATGGGCGTGCACTGAATCCATAGATTGCTTTGGGTAGTATGGACATCTTGATGATGTTGATTCTACCAACCCATGAACACGGTATGTTCTTCCATCTGTTTATGTCTTCCTCCATCTCCTTTTTCAGTGTCCTGTAGTTTTCTGCGTATAGGTCTTTTACCTCCTTAGTTAAGTTTATTCCTAGGTATCTTAATTTTTTTGGTGCGATGGTAAATGGGATTGCTTTTTTAGTCTCTCTTTCTGTAAGTTCATTATTGGTGTATAGAAATGCCATAGATTTCTTGGCATTAATTTTGTATCCTGCTACATTGCCGAATTCATTTATTAAGTCTAATAATATTTTGATAGAGTCGTTAGGGTTTTCTATGTATAGTATCATGACATCTGTGAATAAGGACAGTTTTACTTCTTCTTTTCCAATTTGGATGCCTTTTATTTCTTCCTCTTGTCTGATCGCAATGGCTAATACTTTGAGTACTATGTCAAACAGGAGTGGTGAGAGTGGGCATCCCTGTCTTGTTCCTGTTCTTAGGGGAAATGGTTTTAGTTTTTGTCCATTGAGTATGATGTTGGCTGTGGGTTTGTCATATATGGCTTTTATTATGTTGAGGTATGATCCTTCTACTCCCGCCTTGCTGAGAGTTTTTATCAAGAAAGGGTGTTGGATTTTGTCAAATACTTTCTCTGCGTCAATTGATATGACCATGTGGTTTTTTTCTCTCAATTTGTTTATGTGATGTATCACGTTTATTGACAGGCGGGGATACTAACCACTATACTAACGAGGAACTGTTGTATCACGTTTATTGATTTGCGGATATTGTACCATCCTTGCATCCCTGGGATAAATCCTACTTGGTTATGGTGTATGATCTTTCTGATGTACTGCTGGACCCGATTTACTAGGATTTTGTTGAGGATTTTGGCATCTATGTTTATGAGGGATATTGGCCTGTAATTCTCTTTCATTGTGTTGTCTTTATCTGGTTTTGGTATTAGGGTGATGCTGGCTTCATAGAATGAGCTTGGAAGTGTTCCTTCCTCTTGAATTTTTTGGAATAGTCTGAGGAGGATAGGTTTTAGTTCTTCCTTGAATGTTTGGTAAAACTCCCCTGTGAAGCCGTCTGGCCCTGGGCTTTTGTTTATGGAAGCTTTTTGATGACTGCTTCAATTTCTTCCATAGTTATCAGCCTATTGAGATTTTTAGTATCTTCCTGATTGAGTTTTGGAAGGTTGTATTTTTCTAGGAATATGTCCATTTCTTCCAAGTTGTTTAGTTTGTTAGAATAGAGTTGTCCGTAGTAATTTTTAACAATCCTTTGTATTTCTGTGGGGTCTGTTGTTATTTCACTTCCTTCATTTCTGATTTTGTTTATTTGGGTCCCTCTCTCTTTGCTTCTTGGTGAGCCTCCTTTACCCATTTTTTAATTGGATTGTTTGTCTTCCTGGTGTTGAGTTGTATGAGTTCATTATATATTTTGGAAATTAACCACTTATCAGATATATCATTGGTGAATATGTTGTCCATAAGTGGATTCCCTTTTCATTTGGTTGATGGCTTCTTTTGCTGTGCAGAAGCTTTTTAGTTTGATGTAGTCCCATTTGTTTTTTTTTTCCTTTGTTTCTCTTGCCCTAGGAGATGTATTGGTGAAAAAAACTGCTATGTGAGGTGTCTGAGGTTTTGCTGCCTAGGATTTTTGTGATTTTATCCATTTTGAATATTCTTGTGTATGGTGTAAGTTGGTGGTCTAATTTCAGTTTTTTTTGTCTGTGCCTGTCCAATTTTCCCAGCACCATTTATTGAAGAGACTATCTTTATTCCATTGTACTCTTTTGCTTCCTTTGTCAAATATTAACTGTCCATATTGATATGGGTTGATTTCTGGGGCCTCTGTTCTGTTCCATTGATCTATATACTTGTTCTTGTGCCAGTACTAGGCTATTTTGATTATAATGGTTTTGTAGTATAGTTTAATATCCAGTATTGTGATCCTTCCAACTTTGTTCTTCTTTCTCATTGTTGCTGAGGCTATTCGGGTTTTGGAATATTTGTTCTAGATCTGTGAAATATGCTGTTGGTATTTTAATAAGGACTGTGTTGAATCTATAAATTGCACAGTTTAATGATGCTAATTCTTCCAACCCATGAGCTGCAGGTATGGAAACTGCTAGTATATGCTTTCGCTTGTTTGTGTCTCCTGTCCTTTAGCTGAGATCCGCATCCTCTGACATTCATCTCCAGCTCGCTCTGCGAATAGCCTCTGAGCTCCACTACAGTCAGCCAGTCCACCCCACCGCTCAATTTCATTTCTGGGATACGGCGAGGATTGTATCTTGTAAGTTTATTTATTTTTTTTAAAGTTTCCTAAAATCAAACAAATAGAACAGGGAGAGGAGGTGCTCCAGGCCTCTGCTGGGTGGGGCATGGGGCTCTGGTTGGGCAGTGGGGTGGGCTGTGTAGCATGAACATGATTCTCTCCCCTTTGACCCAGGACAAGGACCACACTGCCACAGCCTGCACACTTTTCATCATTCACTTTCCCCCACCCTTCAGGTCCTCAATGCTGGCAATGGCACTAACCATCCTGCGAGACTGGTGCGGCTTGATGGCCATAAACGCACAGCGCTCCCTGCTCATCCTGGGCATCCCAGATGACTGTGAGGAAGAGGAATTCCAGGAGACTGTGCAGGATGCACTGAGGCCCCTGGGCGAGTACCGAGTGCTGGGCATGATCTTCAGAAGGGAGATCCAATCCAGGGTCGCCTTGGTTGAGTTTCCTGAGTATTTAAACCGAAGTTTGATCCCCCAACAAATACCAGGCAGGGAGGGACCCTGGACTGTGATCTTCCTGCCGCAGGTTCCTGATGGTGACTCACAGGATAGACCAGATTTCCCTGAACAGCCCCAGGGGGAAGCAGTGGCTGGCAGGGCAGATGAGGCAAGAGCTGCAAGTGTGGAAGCTGCTGCAGGTGAGGATGTAGCTGTAGGTGAGGATATACCTGCAGGTGAGGATATGGATATAGCTTCAGGTGAGATTATGGCTGCATGTGTGGATGTAGCTGTAGGTGAGGATGTAGCTGTAGGTGAGGATATACCTGCAGGTGAGGATATAGCTTCAGGTGAGATTATGGCTGCACGTGTGGATGTAGCTGTAGGTGAGGATGTAGCTGTAGGTGAGGATATACCTGCAGGTGAGGATATAGCTTCAGGTGAGGATATGGCTGCACGTGTGGATGTAGCTGTAGGTGAGGATGTAGCTGTAGGTGAGGATATACCTGCAGGTGAGGATATAGCTTCAGGTGAGATTATGGCTGCACGTGTGGATGTAGCTGTAGGTGAGGATATACCTGCAGGTGAGGATATAGCTTCAGGTGAGGATATGGCTGCAGGTGTGGAAGAAGCTTCAGGTGAGGATGTAGCTGTAGGTGAGGATATACCTGCAGGTGAGGATATAGCTTCAGGTGAGATTATGGCTGCACGTGTGGATGTAGCTGTAGGTGTGGATGTAGCTGTAGGTGTGGATGTAGCTGTAGGTGTGGATGTAGCTGTAGGTGAGGATATACCTGCAGGTGAGGATGTAGCTGTAGGTGTGGATGTAGCTGCAGGTGAGGATGTCGCTGCAGGTGACTCAGATGAGGAGGGAGCTTCAGGTGACACAGGAATCGCAGGCATGGCAGGATCTGTGAGTTTGGCAGGAGCCTCAGGTGAGGCAGGGTCTCCAGGTGAGGAAGCTGTGGGTATGGCAGGAGCCCCAGGACAGGCAGGAGCCTGGAACCAGCAATGGAGGCAGGCTCTGCAGCCTCTGCTGGAAAATATGGCCTATCAGGAACTGAGATCCTTTTCTGGCCTGGACGAGCCAAGCCACCAGCAGGAGTCCTTTGAGAGCTGGCTGGACCACGCCAACGAAATGCTGTACCTGTGGCGCCACATATCGGAAAGGGAGCGGCGGCGGCGGCTGGTGGAGAGCCTGCATGGGCCCGCTCTGGATCTGGTGAGTGGCATCCTGAATGAAAATGCTGACATCACAGCGCAGGACTGCCTGGCTACGCTGATTCAGGTGTTTGGGAACAAGGACAACCGAGCAACCGCGCGGCTGAGGTTCATGACTTGTGCCCAGCGGCCCCAGGAAACTCTCTTTGCCTATGTGATGCGCCTGGAAGGCCTGCTGCAGGCGGCCATGGAGAAGGGGGCCATCCAACCCTCCAGCGCAGACCAGATGCGTGCCAGGCAGGTGCTGATGCGGGCTCGCCCCAATGAGATTCTCTGGAACAAGCTGAGAAGGATGCGCCTGGAGAGGAGACCACCTGGCTTCCTGGGGATGCTCCGGCTCATTCGGGAGTCAGAGGCATGGGAGGCCACTCCCACTACGAGCCAGCAGCAGTTTCCAGTGGAAGAAGGGCCCTGGATGGACATTGAAGATTTGGCTGCTGCCCAGGCTGCTCTAGCCCGTGAAGATGCCCAGGCCGCTCTGTTTTTTGAAGATGTTGGCCTGGCCTCTGCAGCCTATGAAGGTGCTGCTCAGGCCACCCCACCCTGTGAAAATGCCGCTCAAGCTGCCATTTCCGAGGAAAACGCAGTGGCCGTTGAGGCGGGTCCTGCCACTGCCCATCCTGATGAGGCTGGCCCTTCCACTGCCCATCCTGATGATGCTGGCCCTTCCACTGCCCATCCTGATGAGGCTGGCCCTTCCACTGCCCATCTTGATGAGGCTGGCCCTTCCACTGCCCATCCTGATGAGGAGGGTCCTGCCACTGCCGATCCTGATCAGGCGGGCCCTGCCACTGCCGATCCTGATCAGGCGGGCCCTGCCACTGCCGATCCTGATCAGGCGGGCCCTGCCACTGCCGATCCTGATCAGGCGGGCCCTGCCACTGCCGATCCTGATCAGGCGGGCCCTGCCACTGCCGATCCTGATCAGGCGGGCCCTGCCACTGCCGATCCTGATCAGGCGGGCCCTGCCACTGCCGATCCTGATCAGGCGGGCCCTGCCACTGCCGATCCTGATCAGGCGGGTCCTGCCACTGCCGATCCTGATCAGGCGGGTCCTGCCACTGCCGATCCTGATGAGGCTGCTCCTGAAACCGGTGGTGCCACTGGGGCAGACCCTGCCCCTAAGGATACCACCAAGGCCTCCCCTGCCATTCAGGGAGATGAGAGTGCTCTGGCTCCTGCAGGTCTAGGTCAGGCAGGGCCCTCGCCTGCCCACATGGGCATTGCTTTCAGGGTGGGCTCAGGAAGTCCTGGCAGTGACCCAGAGGAACTGTCCCAGGAAGAAGATGAGGAGGCTGACGAGCCCCACGAGGAGGAGCGCATTCTCTTCCAGGAGGAGTCAGAAAGTGACGACGGGTTTGGGGACATGAGTTCCCCCGAGCCCTCCTTCAAGTAAGCTTGGAAGGGCCAGTGGCCTGTTCCCCGGGGCACCAGAGCCCTGGAGGCAGGGGAAGGCCACCTCACCCCACATGGGGAGCAGGGCCCAGGGAAGGGTCTTCCCTGCCCCCTGGCCCCCCACTACTCCCAAAGGGCCCTGACCACCACCATCAGCTCTTCCAAGACACCAAGATGACCGTTTGTGATACCAATGGGACGTCCAGCCCCAAACCCTGCCCACTTGGGCACCCCTGGGCAGCCAGTCCCAGTCCAAGTGAGGGGCACCTGAATATGTCTGCCACCTGCATTGGACTGGGAAACGTTAGGGGCCATTTCAAGGGTGCCAGTCTCTGGGACCCCCATCCTCCATCCCCTGGGCAGCCCTCATCCTATTTCTCTGTAGGCCCTATAGTGACCCCCTCTCCCCCGCACACACAGGCCTTGGTGCTTGTGCAGAACCTCCAGGTGTGTGTGAACCCAGATGGGTGTCCTGCCCCCCCGGGGCAGCCACCTCTCAGCCCCGGCACGTGCTGTGAGCCCCACTGCCAGCCAAGGCTCTGCCAGCTCTCGTCCAGTGTCATGAGCTCAGCCTCAGCTTTCTCAGTGTAGATTTAGGCCAACTGCTGCTTGTGCTTGTGGAGATGTGTGTGTTCTTCTCTGAGCAGTTTTCTCCCTCCCCACCGCGAACATCACCCACCTTGGAGACCCTGTGCCCAGGCCCAGGAGAGGGCGGGAAGGACCAGCGAAGGTGTGGCCGGTGCTTACCCAGTGACCCCTGGAAGAAGCGGACCAGGGACAGAAGGCGGCTGCTGGAGGTTTCATGGACACTGTGTACTGATGTCACCCCGTTCTTTGTGACTCAGTTTCCTCAGCATGGTGGAGTGTCCCTTGCTGTGTTTTACAGTGTCCTCTGTCTGTCCTGTGCAGGCCATAGGGCAGAGCTAGGCCCCAGCATGTTGTCCAGAGGGGAGGGAACCCTGCAGTGAGTGGACATCACCAGCGTCCATTATCCTGCAAAGACCAATTGTGGGCCCTCAGGGAGGGAGAATGTAGTGTGAGGGCTGTGGTGTGGAGGAAGTTGAGGCACCTCATCCGGGACCCCAGTAGAAGGTGGGTTAAGACCTCTGGGCTCTAGTGGCCAGTTAGAAGTTCCCCTCTGTTGTCATTCCCTTTGTTCAATGGTTTCAACAAATATTTCTTTTTCAATAAATGTTACTGAATGTTTCAGCTGAGTTTTGCTGTGGTCAGTCGAGGGAAGGGTCTGCTGGGGGTGGGCTTTGGGAGCAGGGAAAGATTCCTGCTTAGCACCCTTGGGAAACCTCCAGGGAGAGGGTAGGGTGGGTACTTAGACTGTCAACCTAGGACAGCGGTTCCCAACCTGTGGGTCGCCAACCTGTGGGTCGCAACCCCTTTGGGGGTCGAACGACCCTTTCACAGGGGTAGCCTAAAGACCATCAGAAAACACACATATAATTACATATTGTTTTTGTGATTAATCACTATGCTTTATGTTTAATTTGTAACAATGAAAATACATCCTGCATATCAGATATTTACATGACGATTCATAACAGTAGCAACATTACAGTTATGAAGTAGCAACGAAAATAATTTTATGGTTGGGGGTCACCACAACATGAGGAACTGTATTAAAGGGTCGCGGCATTAGGAAGGTTGAGAACCACTGGCCTAGGACATGATGAGGGGTTTTGTTCCATTTACTAGGTGAATTATAAAGTTTTGGGTTTCCATTCATTCTTGTCTTGGGATGGTCCTGCCCCTTGGTCTTTTGAAAATGGGTCAGGGAGGGAAGGAGCCACTGGCCTCCAGTGCCTGGGATTCAGGACTGCGAAGTGTGTGTGATGTGTGAGGTAGGGCCATGAAACAAAGAACTCATTCCCCATAGCATGCTTGCTGAGAAGCCAGTATTAGACTGCTAAGACTTTTGTAAACACCCCAAGTGCATTTTAATTTGAACTGTCCTAAAATGTGAAGATATCCCCATGGAATAACAATGATGGCACTTACCGAGCAACTCAGAATCTCTAGACACCTTTGCGGTTTCTGGGAGAGTGGGCACTACCTTATCCATAGCACCTCCACCTGCAAACCACTTGCTCCACCCAACTGGCGTGGCTCAGTGGTTGAACGTCGGCCTATGAAGCAGGAGGTCACGGTTTGATTCCCGGTCAGGGCACATGCACATGCAGGTTGTGGGTTTGATCCCCAGTGGAGGGTGTGCAGGAGGCAGCTGATCAATGATTCTCTCTCATCATTGGTGTTTCTCTCCCTCTTGGAAATCAATAAAAAAAAAAATTTTTTAAAGAATTGCTCCCAAGGACAGAAAAAGACTAGGTTAGTGAGCTGCATAGTGGAAGGACCCCGGGAGAGGCTGCCCTCTCAAGGGGCAACATTGAGGGGAGGGAGGTCAGGGTTTATGTTAAAGGCAGTGGGAAGCTGCTGAACCATTTAGGTGGGCCCAGTGGACACTGCTCCTTCCTTCTGGCTCCAGAAGTTGCCACTTTATGAGGCTGAGCCCCACCTCCCATGAGAGGAACCGAAAAGGCCGGGTCTGTGTTCTCCCAGCTTTTCTTGCAGCTAGGGCATGGGCACATGACCAGGTACGTCAATCAAATGCACTTGCCGTCCACTGGATCTGGGCCCAGAGGTGGGAAGAGGCAGGCCCTCCCAGGTTCCACTTGGGTGGTGAGTGGCAGCAGGGGCGGTGAGGCTTGTTACCTGAGGAACAGTGATAGCCACGGTTCTCCTGGCAGCGCCCGAGTCCCACATTGGTGATGCAAAGCACAGTGTCTGTGTGTGTGCCAGTCAGGGGAGGGAGCCTGCCCAGCACTTTGCCATGATGCAGACCCTGTTCCTCTAAGCCTGGCTTTCCAGCCTCCCCGAACACCCACGAGCCAACCGCCATCCTTCAGCTAATTTCCCTTAGAGCTTTTAGCAGCCACAGTGAGATATGATGGCTAAAGACCTGGGTGGTACAAGAGCGTCCCAATGACACCCGCCAAAAGAGCACCCCCATCCACAGGAGGGTGGCTGGGATTCGGGAATACCATGCCTAGTGCCTGCAGGGCAGGTCTGAGGGAAAGCAGGTCCCGGGAATGTAAGGTATGGGGCCCTGGTCAGGGGCAGGAAGGGGTGGGGGACAGGGTCAGGGTGGGTAGGCCTTTGCCTCTTTTCTCTTGGAACTGGGTTGGAGGGGGAGCTAATCTTGTGGAGAGAGGGGAGCCCCCTCTCTGGGGCGAGCAGCAGGGCACACCCTCTGCCTGAGAAGCCCTCCCAGGAACAGATAAAGTTGGTCCCTTCCTGTAGACTCCTGTGGGCTGGATGCTCCTGGTCAAGGGGAGGGAGGAGCCTGTGAGAGGGCAGGGGAGGCCCTTGGATTGTGGGAGGGGAAGAGGCCTCAGGACAAAGCTTCAGTGTGTGTAGCTTATGCATAAGTGTGTGTGGCTTCTGTGTGTGTGTGTGTGTGTCTGTGTGTGTGTGTGTGTGGCTTATGTGTATGTGTGAGTGTGTGTATGTGAGAGAGAGAGAAAGTTGGGCAAGGTGGTTTCTCTCTCAGTCTGCATCTCCTCTGACTGCGGCCTGAGATTCCCAGTGGTTTCCTTCTTCCCCATGAATTGAGGAAGACAGTATACCCTGACGCTAACCAGCTCAGGGGGCCGAGCAGACTGGTTGCTGGGGGAGCCCTTGTCCCAATTTTTCGCCCTGTCCCTATTCCCCAAAGCTTATGTCCCAGGTGGGATGGTCAGGGACGTTCCACAGACCTTGACGGTGCCTTTCACATTTCCTTCTCATTCTTCCTCTTGTGTCCTCTTTTCTGCTTGCAATCCAAGTGCACATCACTCTAGGCCAGCGGTTCCCAACCACTGCTCTAGGCCCTTCCTGTCCCTGCCTGTAGCCCAGGGCAGCTGGCAGAGTCCAGAGGAGTAGGGAACCCCTCCACCTCACTTGCCACATCTTTTCCAGCCCGTGGGACCAGATTCACGGCTGGCACAGGGTATGGTGGTTGGGTAGGTGCATGGCCCTCCTTCAAGTCTAGTGCAGATTCTGCTGGCGCCCCATCCCTGCCCCATGCTCATTCCCATCCCAGACCAGCTCCCATCTGCAGAGAGGGAGACAGTATTCACCAAATGACGGTTGGGATCCTGCTACCTAGTGGCCCCTGAAAAATGAAAGACATAAACTGATGAGCAAAAAGGGATCAGACAGAGACAGAGAAGCATTGAACAGACCATTAAACCTCAGAGGGAAGGCAGGGGATGGAGGAGGGGGTAAGAGATCAACAAAGGACTTGTATGCATGCATATAAGCATAACCAATGGACACAGACACTAGGGGTGTGAGGGCATATGCTGGGGGGTGGGGGTGGCCAGGGAGAGATCAATGGGGGAAAAAGGAGATTTATGTAATACTATATGTAAGACTTTAAACAATAAAGAATTTTAAAAAAAGAAAAAGAAAGACAGGCCTGTTGGCTGCTGGGGTTGGCAACAACCCCTTAGGAGGCACTTGGGATTTGGCCTTCAACACTTCCCCGACAAGGACTTTCAGAGTCTTAATTCTGAGAACACATTCCTTTCCAATGGCCACACTGGACTTCGGAGGACAAGTCCCCTGGAGCAGGGCTCCAGACAATCTCTCAGCTGCCAGGTCCCCAGGGAGCCAATGCCTTCTGGGTGAGCGGGGATTCGGGCCCACGTGGCCTTGAGAGAGAGCTTGGTGAACCTGTGCCCCAGTGGCCACCTCGCGGGCCCCAGGGCCCAGACCTTCTGAAGGTTTAGGGCTGGAGAGGCAGCACAAATCCACTCATGCGATGGACAACTTCCATAATCATTGTGTAAGTTGCCTCTTTTTCCAACTGGAGCATTCCAGACTCCTGGGACCCCGGCAGATTCTGCCAAGGGGGCTGCATCAGGAACTCTTGTTCAGCTACTGCCAATGCTGTTGCAGGGGCAGTGATTCCTGACTGTGCTCTCCAAGCTGCCAGCTGGGAAGCTCCCCCTCAGCCTTGCCCGCCAGTGCCCAACCCTGACCACCAGTGCCCACAGGGCTGTGGGGGACTTGGGGAGCTGAGGGTACATGTGCACCTCTGAAGTGTGAGATAAATGTCCCCAGGTGCACATAGAGGGGTAGTGGGGCAGGGTGGAGGAAGCAGAGAGGCATCCCCAGATGAGGGACGGCACGTGTCAAGTGTATTGTGTCTGCTGGGCTAAGCTGAAACTACTTGTCCCAGGATTCCCTGCCCTTTATGGTTCCAGGCTAAAGTTGATCGCAGGGAAAATTTGCATGAAATTTGGAAGGGAGAAATGAAGCAGGGGTTTTTATAAAATTATTTATTTTAAATAAATATTTGACAAAGGAGGCAAGAACATACAATGGAGCCAAGATAGTCTCTTCAATAAATGGTGTTGGGAAAATTGGACAGATATATGCAAGAAAATGAAACTAGACCACCAACTTACACCATACACAAAAATAAACTCAAAATGGATAAAGGACTTAAATGTACGACAGGAAACCATAAAAATTCTAGAAGAATCCAAAGGCAACAAAATCTCAGACATATGCAGAAGCAATTTCTTCACTGATACAGCTCCTAGGGCACTTGAAACTAAAGAGAAAATGAACAAATGGGACTACATCAAAATAAAAAGCTTCTGCACAGCAAAAGAAACCATCACCAAAACAACGAGAAAACCCACTGTGTGGGAAAACATATTTGCCAATGTCATATCTGATAAGGGCCTAATCTCCAAAATTTATAGGGAACTCATACAACTTAACAAAAGGAAGATAAACAATCCAATCAAAAAACGGGCAAAGGACCTAAATAGACACCTTTCAAAAGAGGACATTCAGAAAGCCAAGAGACATATGAAAACATGCTCAGAGTCACTAATCATCTGAGAGATGCAAATCAAAACAACAATGAGGTACCATCTCACACCTGTCAGACTGGCTATCATCAACCAATCCACAAACTACAAGTGCTGGAGAGGATGTGGAGAAAAAGGAACACTTGTGCACTGCTGGTGGGAATGCAGACTGGTGCAGCCACTATGGAAGACAGTATGGAGTTTCCTCAAAAAACTGAAAATGGAACTCCCATTTGACCCTGTGATCCCACTTCTAGGAATATATCCCAAGAAATCAGAAACACCAATCAGAAAGGATATATGCACCCCTATGTTCATAGCAGCACAATT